AGAACTGCTCCACAACTGTAGTGTCCCCAGGTGAGTCACCTCTGTCCTGCAGACATCTCCAGTGTGTTAATGATCAGAGATTGCTACACTGGAGACCAGAAACCCCGGAGATAGTAGAAGTGTTGAGAAATTCTCCCCAACTGTAGTGTCCCCAGGTGAGTCACCTCTGTCCTGCAGACATCTCCAGTGTGTTAATGATCAGAGATTGCTACACTGGAGACCAGAAACCCCGGAGATAGTGGAAGTGTTGAGAACTGCTCCCCAACTGTAGTGTCCCCAGGTGAGTCACCTCTGTCCTGCAGACATCTCCAGTGTGTTAATGATCAGAGATTGCTCCACTGGAGACCAGAAACCCCGGAGATAGTTAGTTGGGGAGCAGTTCTCAACACTTCCGAAAAGGATGTAAAGATGAAAATCAGGTGGAGGGGATGGGGTGGAATACCCCAGTTCATGTTGGAGAAATCACGCCATGATGACACAAAAATAAGTAAAGATGAATGAAGAGGCAGAAGGACAGAAGGGATTGTAGAACATGTGCCACAGATCCTCCAGAGCCCAATGAAGAGGATACAGTTATAGAGAGATGCCAGAGTCCACAAAAGTGAGAGAACCTTTCTCACAGGATGAGAAGTAGAGTGAAGAGCCTTCAATACGAGGAAGGTTATAAAAATGCAGAGGATCGGAAGGAAGGTGACAGATGAGAGGATGAGGAATACAAAAAGCAGCAACAGACCTGAAGAATAAACTTGCACATCCAAATAGTGTTGCTTGTGAAGGGAGACTATAGTTGTACAAGGTGGAAGACAGTAAGTAGAAGCTACAGGATAAGGAAAAAAAGAGGAGGTAGCCCCATCGAGCTTCCAAGGTCAGATAGCCAAGTGAAGTATTCATGATCTGGTGAGTCAGGAAACCAGGGAATCTAAGAATGATTGTTGGCGAGCAGCCAAGGAATCAAAAACAAAGGTTGATGCAGTGAGAAAAGAAGCAAGACTTAGGTCAGGGTGGAAGGGAGATGGACACACTGAAGGAAAGCATCCAGAAGAACAGAGAAACTAAGTCAAATAATGATAGTAGAAGAATAAACAAAAGCCAAAAGAGCAAACAAATAAAACAGATGGTCTCATCAAAACTATTGGAGTCGCAATGAAGATCCACAATGATGAGGTGATGGGTGGAGATATAGCAAAGGACTAGAGTAAAGAAAATACAAGCATATTGCAGGAAAGAGGGAGGGGACACAAGAGATTAGGGTTCAGAAAATAAAGAAGGGTCATTACCTTAGGCCACAGCAAAAGAGTTATGAAGACGAGTAGGACAAGGAAGGCATTTATGAACATGGAGGTTCAACAGATGAAGGCCTATGAAGTAAAGCAACCCAAGAGTCATTAAGATATAAAGGCAAAAGTAACACAAGATCACATACTGAGTTATGAGCATAGAATACAAACAAAAAAGGAGGTACCTGTTCCTCTCAGGAAAGGAATAGCCAGAAGCAAAGTCTGTAGGTAGAAGAGATAGCCAAAATCATCCACAGGAGAGGTAGTCTCCACAGACAAGAAGGAAACAGAAGGATGAGTGATCTGAACTGAAGAAGATATAGGCAGAAGGGAAGCAACCACCTGATGCACAATAGTGGTAACATCATGTTCGAAAAACATCATCAGTGAATGTGTTGTCATACCATGGTTCACCATACCTCTAAATGATTATGGTAATTGAGTACATCCACGATATTTATGGTACCTCACCACGAAATGAAATCCAAGACCTGTCACATGCCAAGTATTTGCTCTATTAAGCGAGCTAAAGGGATAACCACCGAACATCGCTCCATGAACAGATAAGCTCAAATCTGACACGGTTAAAGAAAGTGCTCGAAGAGGAATGTCTGAACACTTTTTTTGATGCTGCAATCATTGTTTGAAGAAACACAAAGAGGGAATGTGGTTGTTAGGAAAAACAAACTTGCTATCAGGTAGATGTAATTAAAGTGGAATGGGGACAAAAGCAATGTGGCATTTAATAAAGGCAGTCGATCAAAATGACTAAACTCAAAAAGCACATGAAAAAAAATATATCTGAACACAGGCAGCAGTGAGGAAAGTATAAGCCTACGATCATGTTTTAATGCTCATGTGGATTGCTGCAAATGGAGGTTGTTGTTGTTGCCCTCCTATCGATGGAGTGCTACAGTATATGACAATTACATCATTGTCTGGCACAATACACTTAGGCAAATGTTAGGGTGGAAGTTTGTTCAAGGCTTGTGACATGCTCAGGAAATTCCACAACAGTTGCATCTTAGTGTTGGAGAGAGAGATAAGCAACATTCATGAAATCAAGTAATGATTAATAACAGTGATTCATCAATCTCCAAGGAAACTACCGATAAAAAGCAAATAATGATTGGTAATAGTGATTGCTTAACCTCAAAGAAAACTACCGTTAACTGAATGTGCATGGATTTTTATCCATTGCAGGGTAACACCAATGCTTTTGACAGGAACTACTGTTCAAGAACAGTATTTGTTTTTATTTTCTGATTTAATGTTAATAACATTTCCATTGTTTGTCAAAGCTTATTAATTATGATTTAAAATACAGTTGTTACCAATTTAAAAAAAGTTAGGCACCAATGAGTAGTTTTTCCTGTCCCCAACTGATGTGATTTTCTTATCTAAGTCTTTTACGTGGTACTTTATCAAAACCTTTTTTTAAAAATCTAAGTACAATAACTCAACACCCTTTCCATCATCCATAACATCTCCAAAACAAAAGTTAACAGATTAATAAGGAAGATTTATCTTGAGTGAATCTATGTTTATTTTCTTCTATATCATATTTCACAAGATGACTTTGCAAAACCATTTTCGTCATGTTTCAGAATTTTTGTTTTTTTTTGCGATAGAAATAAAACCAACTGGTCTGTAATTTCCAGGGCAACATTTCTTTAATAACAAGATACTTCTCACTTGCTTTCAAATTGTAACATTTAGAAAAGAATACTGGTAAGAAGCAGAATATTTTATTTTTTATACAAGACCACAAAAAATATGTACTCACTTCCTCATAAAACTTAAGTTGAGGAATCGGCTCATCTGTCAGCATTTCACAAAATTCCTTGAAGAGAAGATAACCTAAAAATACCAAAAAGCAAACAGTGTCATTTTTGTCAAAATATTGTATTTGAAATTAAAAATCTCAATGTTTTTAATTTTACTAAGCCATACGAGTTTACAGTTCAACTAAAAATCTGTTTAAAAGTAATTTTATCTACTGTGTTAAGTTATTAAATAGAGAGTAATGGTAAGTACAAAAAAATAAATGTGGGTTTTCACATAATCAACTTAAAAATAAAACAAGGACACTTACCAAAACTTTGATCACATAAGATAAAACATTAACTTTTAAAGGTAACATTTCATAGACTTTAAAACTCATTTGTTGGTGTTGACAGTAACTTTGACTACATGGTACATCTGCTAAGTTGTGGTACTGAATTTGTTTTTTCTGTAAAACCATCTTTCTTGTAGATAACTCACAAAATATTTGATGATTAAGGTTCTTAACTTGCCACTGATTTGACAGTTTTCTGAGTAGATGTTCTCTTAATAGACTTAATAATAAATTCACTAACATTAAAAACTTGTAGTTTTTCCTGGAAAAGCACTTATAAAATTATAAACAACTAATTACTCACCTAATTTTTGGTTGAAGATTTTGTCAAAAGTCACTTCTCCCATTTTCTCTAAGTGTTTGTGCATAACACTTCGTACACTATAAGACATAAGTTAAACATAGGTATATCATTCAGCAAACTGTAAATTATGTCACTTTTTTAAAATAAAAAAGTAATAACAAAAATAATGGTAATACTATTTAAACGTATGTACACCATGTTAATTTCCATCTTACTTATACCACCTGCACTTGCATCCCAGCCTAATATCACCCATTGTTTTCACTGCTAAACACAAAAAAAGTTTCATGGATCTATAGTATCAATACCCTTAATAATCTTAAACACTGAAATCAAATCCGCTCTGACTCTTCTCCTTTCCGGGGAAAACAAGTTTAGAGATTTTATTCTCTCCTCATAGGACAATCCCACCATTCCAGGTGGAGATAATGTAATCCCTAAAGCGGCTGATTTTGTCTCACAGAGGATACTGCTCTCTCTCCCAATTGTGTTTATGGGGATTACTGCACATAGACATTGTGTTGCTCGCCTATTGGTGGAGAATTATAGTGTAACAATGATTACGTCATAGGCAGGTGAAGTACACATTAATATGTGTAGGGGTGGGAGCTTTGTTCTAGGCTTGTTGTGTGCACTTTCATTGTTGTTCGGAGGTGAGTATCTATAAGAAATACATTTTTAGGTAAGAAAAATGTTAACTTTCACATACGTAGAGGCTCTTGCCTAAATATATAGCCAGTTCAATACAATGTTAGACAAGGGATCATAAATTCATATTTTGGTAGTGTAGGAGTCATCAGCAGTTTTACAGTATTGCTTTTCAAACAGGGTGGTTGGCTTTTGGAATGAGCTGCCTCCGAGGGTGGTGGAGGCAGAAAACTTAACTGAGTTCAAGAAAAGGTTGGATGACTACATGGGTAGTAACGGGTGGTTATAGTTGGGAGCTGGAAGGGACATCCTTGATGGGCTAATAATCTCCTTTTTGTCCCTTTAAATTTTTATTAATTTATGAATGTATTTATAATATAGACATACATATATACGTATATTGAAGGTGGATGTGAGATCCATTAAAAAAAAGAAAGAGAAAAATAAACAAACTATCTTCAGAGATCCACTATAAAAAGTGGAGGATGGCAACTGGTGGGAGACAAATCACAAAGTAGATGAAACTGCCATGTGGTGTCGTCCACCTCCCCACCTGCAAGATCTTGTATAGGGGACATCAATGGCTAGAGGCAAGAGAAGCTGTGAGATTTCAAACTTGATGGGAGGAGATATGAAAAATAAGAAAAGTGTCATCACCCACAGAAGAATAAACTAGCCAGAAGAGGTCTATAACCTAACTAGTCAAAGTGGAAGGAGATAAAATATTAGAGGAAGAGGTATCTGACTACAAGAAGAGACATCATCAACAACCCAGAAGCCTCCATGACATTGAGAGGTGAACAGAAGACAGAGAGAGGATCTCTAGATATATTACACTGATTGTACACAGTCTACTGAAAAGGATGAATATGGGCATATCCAAGAGGAACAAGGTACTCAAGAGAAGAGACAGCCCGGCCCCCCAAAGAAAATATTGTGAAGAAAAATAAGGAGATACGACAGCCTTAGTATCAGAAGCTCCATGTCTCAAAGATGAAAAGAAGAAAGCTAAGCCTGTCCTGCATATGAATTGAAAAAGACCACAAGTGAATCAGATACTGAGTGGAGGTCAAGACTGAAATGGAAAGCTGAACCAGTCATCCCAATGATATGATTCTCAAAGGAGAACCGAACTCAGAATAGTGGATGCCACACTGTATGGGGCAGGTAGAGGTCAAGTGTCCATAGGATAGTGGAACAATATGCCTAAAGAATGCAACCTCTGAGCAAAAGCCCACCAGACTAGACTGAAAACATAATAGTTACAGCCAACATGAAGGGAACGACTGTGAATCAAATATTCGATCCCTCTGGATGAACCAAGGAAGCAAAAAGCAGGCAGACAAATCAGGAGGTGGAGAAAGCATTCTGAGACCTTGATCTTGGTCATCTACATTCTTCGTGAAATGAGCAGACCAAAGTTGATTCAAGTGGGACATATTTATAACAGGATGTCATCCTCCCATATTCTAGAGAGTGACAATAAGACAAGAGTAAAGTGAATGATAATAAGACATTGCTGAAAGAGGAAAAAGAAATATACCCGAGAGATCAACGTTGAAGGCTGAATGCTTTCCTCGATCAGTAGGGAGGCACCCAATGCAAAACCAGGAGGAGGTAACAGATGATCAAATTCATCTTCCTCCTGTTTAAATTCAAAAATGAGAGGAATGAATGTCAGAAGAATGGATAGAAACAGAAGGCCTAGCATGCACAATGGATCACACAACACAATGCACAATGGCAGTGACATCCTTTTCAAGCAATGAACCCCTGATGCCATAGTACAGATAGGGCCTGTGTGAGTAGTATCACTTAAAGTAAAAGTATAACAAGAAACAAAGTTTCATTAACAAATTCAAGCAAATCTCATCAGATTGAAGCCAGATGAGATCCAAACACTTCTGTTCAATACAGTACAGAGGGAGTGATCTTATCACAAGTTCATAGGTGGAGTTACTGTGTATGGATAGTGAGTTACCCTCCTACTGATGGTGGGCTTTTCTTGCATAATGACGACATCATGCATCAGGGCAGTTCATGTTAAACAGGTGAATTTAAGTGGGAGATACTTAAACTACTGTGAAGTTTGAACTTCTACCACTCTTAGATAACAAGAAATAAAATACCCCCCAGTGGCACAAGGGTATGTCTGCAGATTTATAACACTAGAAACCAAGTTTCAATACCCGTGGTAAGCAGAGCACAGATAGCCCATTATGTAGCTTTGTGCTTAACTACAAACAAACAGGAAACAAAGCTGTCAAAACATTAGACATGCCTTTCAAAATCTTACATCTATGACCATTTGTCCTACTGCCTTCAGAACTCAACAAAAAAATCTAATACCTCAAAAAAAAAAAATAATCGTGGCAAAAATTTAGTTTGAAGGAAGAGAAAACAATGTGATAGTTGCCTGCTCTTCCCAACAGGGGTGCTTGGGAACGGTTGTTCCCCTTCAAGCTACCGCTCGAGAATAATTAGCAACAGAAACTATAATTGCATTTAGAAATGTTGGCAGGAAGTTTTTGAGAGAAAGCTGTAAAGGTTGTAGAAGGCAAGATGAAGGTCTTCTTTTCCAGTGGTTGTTGGGTAATGTGCAAAGATGTTGTGGCTGTTGATGATGTGTGGAGGTGATGGCATCAATACGAGACAGTGGAATTATTCTAATATTAATTTCAAAATTTTTGAAGGTAGGAACTAATTTCATTTTTAAATAAACTTTACTGAATTGGATTGGAGGCCCTTTTCAGGGGGGGGGGACCATATGGTCCAATGCTCAGGTGAATTTTGTTGTGGGGGGGAGCCAGAGTGTCCAGAGAAAACCCACTTTCACAGTACAGATGCCAATTAATCTATCTGTCCTGTGTCATGGCTGTAAAGGATAACATGATGGTTAATAATAACAACATGACATAGTGTTCAAGCCTTTGTGTGTGTGCGTTTTGTTCTTTGTTTTCCTGTTCGCGGAACAGATTGTATGCTTCAATCTCATCAGTTTCATTAACAAATGAGTGCTTGAACCAGATTATTTGTTGCCCTTCTCTTTTACAGAACAAGCTCAAGAAATCTTAACCTGTCTTCATGTGACAACTTATTCATTTTTGAAGGCATTCTAGTAGCCCTCTTCTGAACTCTCTCCAAGGGCTCAATGTCATTCTTACAACCCCAAATGAGACCTAATTACTGATTAATAAATTATCATGGCCTCTATTTTCCTTTCCTTATCCACATAACTAACACGATTTCTATCTAAGTTTCATGTGTAATTTGTGTTATGATAACTCATATTCATAACCTTACATTATCATAATTTTACACTAGTAATTTTTTAATCAGTGGAGTACAACTGGTTAGTAATTAATTATAGTATTTTGGCACTTGTGTATAAAGTTAAAATCATAAATAATATTCAACGTTAAACTGGTACACAATTAAAAACAGTTTAACGTTGAATATTATTTATGGTTAGTAATTACTTTGACATTATTCACTCACCCCTAAAAACTGGACATGAAAGACAGCTCCAACAGAGAGTCTAATTAGTTATAAAATTCAACAAAGCTAAACCTTCACAAGAATCATACATTGTTCCTTATACATATGTAGCAAATATAAAGATGCAGACTTGCCACTTGTTCGCCAATCTGCAGTATTTTAATCATTAACAAAAAATCAGATGTTTAAACTCTAGAAGAGTAACTTGGTACTTAAACATTCTGTTTATTTTGCAAGTTTGAATCCTGCCTCACTGGTTTTGGGGATAAGCTTCTGTGTTGTTATTTCACGAAAGCAAACACATTACAAGTGTTATTATAGGACCACAAGATTAACATCCTATTAATACTGGTTACTACAAGTTCACAACCCATTAAAATAAACTGGTTAATCACAGTAACTGACGGTAATATTAAAAAATAGATGGAAATGCAAGAAAGGTCAAATTTGGGAATTCTGTACGCTTTTAGAACCAGAATTTGGTCAGTTTCAGATGATTGGTATTTTAATGTTTAAGAAATTATTTTCCACATCATAACATTTATGGAAAATAGACATTTTTCTAACATCTCTATACCAGAATGCCATGGATTTCTTTTTATTTTATTTCCATTTTGTAAAACTACTGTCAATATAAGAACAAACTTGAAGTTCAATTCGAGGTCATTTTATGTCTAATAAATGTCCCAACAGTAAGTGAGAGAAATATTTGTCAGATAAATTGAAAAAACTTTAGAAATAGTCTACTACAAAAATTATCATTATTGAAATAGGTTAACATAATATACTAAGTCGCATAAAGATAACAAACTCAAATTGTAACAATCATACGACTTACACGTTCTACTTCAGCTGGCTGACATTCAGTCTAGCGGTATAAAACAATATTAGCCCTGATGGAAATGTTGGTGTATTTTGATATCAGTTGATGAAGTTTTAACTATGATTTAAAACCAAAAACTCTTGATTCCAACATTCAGTCTAGCGGTATAAAACAACATTAGCCCTGATGGAAATGTTGGTGTATTTTGATATCAGTTGATGAAGTTTTAAGTATGATTTTAAAATCAAAAACTCTTGATTCCTGGCACTTCAAAGTTTTAACCATGAACGACAACAGTGGTTCTTAACAGGGATCACAAGGAATTGCACAAAACCCTAATAGAATGTTTAGACAAAAAGCACTTTAAACAGTAAAGATTCAGTTCCAACAACACTTTAAAGCCTTTACTATTGATTGCAAAGGCTCTACACATGTACAAATGCACAAAAAAACATACATGTTAGACTTAGAAGAAAAAGAAAATCAAGTCAAATAGGCCCATTTCTAATTCTTGATATTATTATTATTTTCCTGTCAGCATACAACAAAAACAGCTTGGTATATTGCACCCAAACCTTTTGTAGAATATCATATGAGGTACTGCGAAGATCGTAGGGTATTAAAATGTCGATCAGTAAAATAACACTAATTACTCGACGAATAATATTCCAGGTTTGACTTCACAGTTTCTACTTTATTCTGTTATTCTAATCTTTAAACAACACTGCTATATTTTGGATTTTTATAATTATTAATTCAAATAAAATTTTCAACAGAAGAAGTATATCAAAAAAGTTATGTAACAGCCATACAATCTTATGAATGGACTCTGCATATATGATTAAATGATATGTCAAGTATATATAGTTACTATTCTTTTGAAATATTTTTTCCTTGTCCTGACTATCTTACAAGATAATGAAAAAGTTCTATTTGCAACTTAAAATATACTGCTGTTTAAATCTTTTTTAAAACTTTCTACAACATTCGAGTTACTTCTAAATTGTATTTTTTTCAACTTTTTTTACAATTTATGTTCTTACAAAAAAAAATTGACCATTTTAATGTCATTCACAAGCTGACAGAATATTTGATACTCATGATAATTTTTATTATCGAGTTACAACTTTCAAGTGTTTTTTTTCTTTTTCACTAATATGTAAAACATAATATTGGATAAAGTTATCATTACTACATCAAAAGTAAAAATTTCTTGAGTTCATTATTATTATAATTATTTATGTATTATTAAACAGCACACCAAAATGGCCATTTAAACTTAGTTTTTTATACTTCAGATAAATTAATATCTTTATTAACAATATATTTCAAACAAAAAAAGTGGGTTGAAAACAGATTATGGTTACAGATAGTAATAAAGTGCAAAATGTAAAAAAATAAAATCACCTTGGATCTGGTAAGATAATCTTTTTGCTTGCTCTGGCTGCTGGGGTGGATTTGCTCTTCTCCATTGCCATAAGATAACTTACATCTGCTAAAACTGCTTCTAGATCAGCCATCTTCGCAGTTTCTTGTCTCTATCCTTTTATTTCTTAAGTTAGAACTACACCATAAACACACAGGTAAACAACTTTTTAATTTGGCAACAGTATAGACGAGTTTTGAGCCTGAACTTGAAGATAAAACCAAATGTTACAAGTCAATAACTTACACAGTTCCTGATGACGAAAGAGCAAGCACAATCTAAAACCACCATATTATTTTTTTAATTTAATGCAGCAATAAATTGAGCATTGTTAATTACTGTTTAGCTCAATAAAAATTATTGGCACAATACTTTGATAACTTTGTTTGTAAGTAATATTAATGATAACGCTAAGCCTATTCCGAGCAAGGAAACTAAGAATAGGATACGTTCTGTCAATAATCCGGAATCACGTTACCGGTACGACCAGGTAGACTCCGAGTACGAATACGACGCATGGACAATAACGCGACCCTCCCGTTCTGTATTGTATCTACTTTTTTGTACAATCTACTACTACAACGATTAAAAATAACGGTTTAATCGACAATATGCACACTGTACAACTATCACTACTTGTAATTAACGTTACACTAACCTACAGTAACTTTTAATACTAACAGTAATAGTTTATACTAGTATTACTTCAATTTCAAGTAGCTGTGCAACTACAATTTATAAAGTACAACTACAATTTGTAGTACAAGTGAAAACTTCAATGACACGATCAGAGCGGAGTTTGTTTATAGATTCTAGACAAGTAGTAGCTAAACACACGGGTACTGTTGGAAAAAGACAAACACGAGTGTTTGGAACAATCAACGCTTACAAGCATTGAACAAAAACAACACAAACAAGAATACTATCTTCAACAGCAAAACACTAACATTAACAGATAAAGAAAAGCGATAACACCATCCTCACAAAACGCCCTCTTTAGTGGTAATAATATGTTATTAAATTGATCGAACCCCTTTACTGCCATCTATAGTATTTTCTAATAGATAATTGTAAATATATGCCAGATTTATATATAAAATTATATTAAAATAACAGATTGATTTGATTGTAGTTACGCACAAAGGGCTAAATGTGCTTGCCCATTATGGATATCTAAATCCGGTTCTAGATTTATAATCCTTCAGACTTACCCCTGAGTCACTGGAGGACGACAAATTGACCTTCAAACAGAAAATAACTCATTGCTCTTATCCTCTGATTATAAACATAACTTACTCATACGTGATAATTTTCATTTAGGAATAGTGTTACTTGTGTATGCTGTGACATTTTTTTCTGTACAAGAGGAACAGAAAATAATGAAATTGGAGATAATCTCAAGAGTAGCGGTACTTAGAAACAGAGCTACTCCCGGCAATTTCATGGGAACTACTCCTACCTCATTATGTGTCCTCCTTGCTCATCATTTTATATACCCCATATATAACAGATTCGAAAAACGCACACTATAATTCCCACCTCTTCGAGACCGGGTTCAGTTTGTTTAATCTTTTGCATGTTTAAAATTGTGGGAATAAAATATTATTCAAAATTATAAATTCAACTTGTTTAAAAATTCTTATCCATAATGTTACATATAGACTCTGCTCCCTTCCCTTTCTCTCTTCATCCTACCTGAACATCGTTCAAAAAATAAAATGTTTTTGAAAGGATAATGTACATATGTAATACTACTATTGGAGTTACAAATTAAACGAAATCAATGTGGACGTGTACATTTTAAAATTTACCACTAAACACTACTATGTTTATAACGCATATTACCAGTTTTACTAGAATGTTTACGCAATTAATGATGATTGAAATTAATCTAACAAAAATTTCTCGTCATTCCTAAACCTCTAAAAACCCACAAACTTCGTTGGCGGTTGGGGTTCCACTGAAGACCTACTAGGCGGTACTAGCTAGCGATGAAGGGGAGAGTTTCCTCGATTATTTCGAGAAGTGAGTAGAATTCTGGTCGACCTGCTTTTTAGTCCTAATACGCCAGTGTGTGTAATCATTAAATTACTTTTCTTTTTCCAAAAATCATAATACTTGAAATGAAAATATTTCTTAAATAATTCTAACTCAGCAGCATCCGTTGAGGATCACCAGAGTGTGAAGTGGCGATATCTATGAGATTCCTTTTAATTCGAAGTTTTTACAGAATAATTAGAAAACAAATTCTGGGCAAATGTCGTGTTTGTTTGTTTCGAAATTTCTCGCAAAACTACACAAGGATTACCTGCGCTAGCTGTCACTAATTTTGAATCGATAGATTAGAGGGAAGGTGGCTAGTCAATAAAACTCGCCGTCAAATCTTGGCCTATTCTAATCTGATAGTATAGGTTTGATCATCATTCTTATCAAACACTCGGCCATCGCAGTGACAGGAGACAGGATTGTCGGTCCGGCACACTGACTATTAGGCCGCGCAATCAGAGTAGACTATGCCTGTCTTATTCGCCCCTCTTACCTAAACTGATTTGAAATCTTCATAAAACTGAGCAAATGTAAACTAGATGTGTGATAGTATCTTTTTTTTTAGATTGCTAAAAATAACTGGGGGGGGGGCATTTTTTATTATAACTGTATTGTGTTTTCAAAAACGTTTCAAATCAAGACTTTTTATTCCATCTTTCGAATTTCGTTTGAAGAATAATTTAATAACAGTCATACTTTAGAGAAGTATATGTATTATTTCTAAGGTTTTTATGGAATTACATCATTCATTTTCTGAATTGTTTTATTGACTAGTTCTAAGCCGTTTGCAAATACGATTCACAATGACTGTATACACTGTACAATGATTTATTTTAACCTCCTCTGTCTAAACCTTCTCTAAAGCAAGAGTACATGACTGTAATTAAATTACTCTTCAAAACATAACGTAAAGTACACATAGTGTAAAGTACATGTTATTCATATATTTTTGTAAGCTATATTTTCAATGTAACAATTTAGTTGTTTCCTAGAGGGAGCTGTTAACGTGCGTATTTATCGATTAAAGCTAAGAAAGTTAGGCGTAGGTACCATTAGCAGGGAATTTCTGTCGTAACATTGTTTGTGAAGCTAGGCCTAGGTGAACGTAGTCTCTAGCAAACATTAAAGAAGAAATAAATTAATTAATTATAATTCCATGGAGTAGGCCGCCTTATTTTTACCAAATAATCTAAAAGAACCCAAAGGTGACAACTCGTTCTACTGTCTTCGAGTAGCATCTATAATCTATTATCAATCCATAATATGCCAGATCAAATTTTGTTTCTCTGTGTGTATGTGTGTGCAAACAGGGATTTAAGACTTCTAGAGACACCATGACTATCAAGGAACAAAACGATATCACTGACTTTTAAATCTCAGACATTTTGTATTATGTTAACGTTAAAAAAAGCCACATATAATTTCTCCATATAATATAGACATACTGTTCATGCTTTATTTGACCACAACCTAACGAAACGCCATTACGTATAGGTTTTTCTAATACTTTAGCTACACAAATCCTCATAGTATATAACTCTATTATTTGTTTTTAATCATCCTCGGTTCCTTCTGTTTCTGGCTTGTCAGAAGCCATTTAATTAAAAACAAATTTATACAACTTAATGCATAATAAAACTTAAATTAAGATGATAGAAACCGACTCCTAATTTTTAGGTGTTAACTATAATCAGAGAAAGATAACCAAACTTTTTCTTTTATATTTTCCTATAAAAAAGAAGAAAATATCATGTAGTTTTAATATTAGCACAACAGCGCCTAGAAAACTTTAGGCAGTATCCATGCCACCGCATACGATATTATGTTATCAGAAGATATGTATGTACATCAGTAAGTGCCGAGTAAGTGTCCTACGCCTCCACCCCTGGAAAAGTACACAATACGAAGGCCTAATGAAGTTTTCCCATGTACATAATTTACTCCCCCAATTTTCGGGAAAAGTGCATAATATGTAGCCCTAATAATGTTTTCACATATAAGTTATCTTGCCTAACCCCCCCCCCCCCCCGGGAAAAGTATATAATATGTAGGCCTAATAATGTTTTCACGTGCATATTATCTTTTCCCTCCCTCATGTAAAATTACCAAAAGAAAAGTCTGTGCCTGAGTCCTACCTAGAAGCTTTTGACTTGTAGTGAACCTCAAGACTTTAAAAATGATTTTATTCCAAAAATAGGGGTATATTTCTTTCTTTCTTTATAGCTAAGCACAGAGCTACACAACGGGCTATCTATGCTGTGCCCACCCGATTTCTAGTGTTATAAGTCCGCAGACTTACGGCTGTACCATTTGGGGGCGATAAGGATATAAATTTAATAACAAAACTGTTGACAGTTTTTGATTCAAGGCAGAGAGTTTGTTGTTTTATCGTGTATAAAAGGAGTTACTA